CAGAAAAGTGAAAAATTACAATAAGTGGCTGACTGTGTCTGCTAACTGCTAAAATCAAATTTGGGATACTCTTTTTTTCATAGAGACCAAGGCCCTATTCTTCCTCCTTCCTGATGATTACATTTAGAAGAAATGGCTTTTGGGACTCTGAGAAATATGCCTAAGTTTTAGAAAAAATAGATAATAGATGATGACAGAGAACGGATTTATGTAAATGCTTGAAGAGGGAGTCAGGGACCTATTGTCAGGTCTTGGCTAGAACCAATGGTAAATTCTTTGTTTAGCCAGGGGCTTTTCTAGTCAGGAGCTCAAATGTGAGCTACAGTGTCCCAGGGTTGCTGCCTTAGGCTACTAGAAGTCACATGAGGGTTAGTCAAGTCTTCAGTGAAGGGTTCAGACAGTCATTGTGTGGCAATAGTTCTTGCAGAGTTCTCAAGAAGTGCCAATCAAGAAGGGAAAGGAGCAGACTAAACACAGAGAAGTTAAGTACAAAGGCACGGTCTGTTTGAGAGTGGAATGTGGTTTCATGGCGGGTGCGTTGGGGAGAAGTGGGAATAAAAAAAAAGCCAGAAAGGTAACCTGAAGACAGCAAAGTCATGCTAAGGAATTTTTTACTGTGTCCTAGGGATAACAGAGACAAGGCAAAGGTTCAGTTCAGGAGGATAGTGAGGCCAACTTGTGGCTGGGAATGCCAGGCTGGTTACTGTGGAGAATGGCTTAGAGGTGGTGGTGATGGGTGAGTTCAGAAAGACTGAGACAGGAAGATGAGTGAGAACTCTGTGGAATGTTTTCCTAGAGGAGTAGAAGAATGAAGAAAGGCAACGTGGATCAAGTGAGGGAGATGGATATGAAGGAGAAAAAAGGACAGGATGCAGGGATGAGAGAGGGGGATCTGGGGTAAAATCAAGGCTTTGGTGCTGGGTGACACAATAAATACATAGACTTATTTGACATAACCATCTTAGTTCTGCTTCTTCCTTTATATTTACTGGGGTGATTCCCTTTATTAGAGAATTGGTACGGAGGGAGGCTCTTTGATCTGAATTTAAGGATTTTGCTTGTGGGACTTCATGCAAAATTCTCTACCATTGTTGGTGTTACATCATCATAAGGAAAGAATGAGAATTTTATTGACTTCCTGAGCAAAATAGCCAGACAGAAAGAGACGAACTTGGGAGAAGTTGAAGGAGAATAAATTTAATTCCATTGGATAATAACTTATTTAGGGTTGATATTGTGCCTGTCTGCACTAGATACTCTGGGTAGAGGGGGCCTAAATCATAGAAATAATTTCCTTTCTGGAGGAATCTTGGTAATAGTTTGGGAAGCAAAAGGAAAAAACCAAAGAAAGGGGAAGGGAACAATTCCAACTGAAAATGAACAACGCAAAAAAGAAGGAACAAATTCAAAAAAAAAAAAAAGTGAAAACTTCACAAAGAAAGGTCCTTATAAAAGATTCCAGAGGCAGAGAGTATGGCAGAGACAGAAAGACAGTTTATTCATCAGTCCTCTGTGTGTAGACTTCAGTTTTACACTTTTATAGACAATGGAGCTATGTACATCTTAGTACATATCTCTACATGTGGACAAGAGCAGACTCACTAGTTCTTATAGTTTGGATCTGGAATGTCTCCTAAAGTTTCCCTAAGGACTTGCTCCCTGAGTGGCACTACCGGGAAATGGTGAAATCTCTTAAGAGGTGGGACCTAGTGGAGGTTTCAGGTCAACAGAGGCATACCCTCAAAGGAGATTGTGTGATCCTGGTCTCTTATTTTCTCTTTCCTTGTTTCCTGGACTTCATTAAGTGAAGAGCTTGCCCACCATGTGCTCCTCATTATGATATGCTGCCTTGCTACAGGCCCAAAGTAGCAGGGCCAATTAGTCATAGATTGGACCCTCCCAATCTGCTAGCCCAAATAAATATTTTCTCTTTATAAGTTGATTATCTCAGGTATTTTTTATTAAAAGAAAGCTAATACACTATGCTAATAACACTAGTACATCATTATCTTCATTAGATAATATTAAATTATTTTTCAAAGTGATTTTTTTTTACAATTTACACTCTCTTTCTGTATATAAATACCTATTGCTCTATATCATCTCCACTACTTGGCATTATCAGACTTTTCGAATATGCTGATATGGTTGGTATCAAATGCTAACTCATGTTAATTTTAATTATCATTATCATAATAACCAACTTAATTCTTTCATTGTCAATTGACCATGTATATATACTTTTTCCATGAAATGCCTGCTCTTGTGCCCATTTTTCTATTGAATTTTCTTTTCCTTAGGAATTTATTTTTTAATATTCTGGATAGTAATCCTTTGTCATTATTATGTCTGATATATAGCTTTTCCCAGATTGAAGCTATTATGAGTCTTTTCATTAACTAAATTTATTAATTTTAATGGAGCTTAACTTTTCCATTATTTTAGTTATAGCTTTTTCAGTTTGTATTTTCTTCAAGAAATATTTTGTAATCTTAAAGTCATAAACATTTTAAAAATAGGCCTTAAAGATTTGTTAACATGAGGTAAGCATTAGATATTACTTTTCTATATTAAAAAAATTCTCAAAATATATTCTTTCCACAATATTATTTATCAAATTACCATAAATGAATGATTTTGTTTAAGGATTCTCTGTCATAGTCCATGTATATTTTTATCTTTTAAAAATGCAGATAATATACTGTTTTAATGACCTTAACTTCATAGAAAATCTTATTGAATAGAGATAATTATTCTTCTTTGTTTTTCAGAAACATCTTCAGTATTTTTATATTTGCTTTTCTATGTCCCTTTTACAATGAGCTTGTTTATGAAAAATTCTGGTGAGTCATATGAGAATTCCATTAAATCTCTGACTCAATTTAGGGAAAATTTACATTATTGTGATACTATTTTCCTTTCTTTGAACATGATATATATTTCCATTTATTCAGATCTTCTTTAATGTCTTTCAGTAAAGTTTTATTATTTTCTCCATTAAGGTCTTGTCCTTTTAAAAATGTTTTAGGCAATCTACATTTTTTGTTGCTATTATATATGGTTTATTAACACAGTTTCAAACTGTGACTGTTATCCTACACATTAACATACCCAAATGGATTGTGTGGGGTATAGTGTTATGTCTAGAAAACTTGCTGAACTCTTTGATAGTGTGTTGTCTATTATTTTGAGTTTGTGTAAAATTTTCTATAGTTGTATCATCTATAATTAATGGATATTTGTCTTCTTGCATTCCACTTTTTGTTTTACTCATGTTATCTATTATAGCTATAGTGAAGACCAACTAGAGTCTTCACTATAAAGTTAAATAGAAGTAGTTAAAATGGAATTAAAAGTATAAAGTCATCCAGTTATTTATGATGAGTGTAGAAAACATCTTGTTTATGATTTGCAGTAATTATTTCTAATATGTGACTATTTGGGATGATTTATATAGAAAATCTTTTTTCTTTTCTTTCTAGTCCTAGTTTGTTAAGTTATATATGCCTTATTTTAACATTCATTTTTTATGAACCTACTGAGATACTACCATCAAAAGACTTTTCTGTCCTCCTCAACCTCCCTGGTGCTGAGGATCAAACCCAGGACTTCATGCATGATAAGCATGTGTTCTACTACTGAGTTATATCCCCAGCCTAAGAATTTTCTGTTTTGTCCTGTGACTTACATAGACTTCCTAATGTTCAGTTACTTCATAGTTTATGCTAGAACTGGGCAGAACTGAGTCAGGTGGCCAGGACTCAAGATCCAGTCTTGTCATTAATTTGTGTCCTTGGGAAAGTATCTTCTTATCTCTGAGACTTGATACACCTTTATAAGGCTGAGTAAATTGTCTATAAAGACCCTTCTATTTCTCATATTTCATAAATAAGAACAAATGAATGCATGTGTAGTATTAGACTGTAGAGAGCTGAAGGGGAGATGGCAAAAACATAAAATGAGTGATGGAGAAAAACAGGGGAAGGGAAGACAAAATTACATCTTCAATGTCCTTTTTGTTTACAACTTTCTGGCAATAAATTATGAATATCCTGAGTCTCCGTGATTTACCTGCTGCTTGTTTGTTCAAAAATACATCTTGTATCTGGCCGCATTTTGCAGAGTCCTCCCATCTGTAGTTCTCAGATGTTCTAGCATTTGCACACTGAGACATGCTACTAAAAAGATAAAGCTTGAGACCTAGGTGGGAAAGAGAAGGGGTACTTTTTTCTGATATTCACAAAAGGAGATTCACATATGCTTTTGTTCTAGTTCTTTCTAGGGTTTAATGCATGGAGTGTCTTGATTCTCTTAAAGACCTGCTACTTGAAAAGTGAAAAAAGTATTTATTAAATGAATGGAATTCTTGGATTATTAATGTTGTCTTACTAGCATAATCTTCATCTACAAAACAAAGGTAAAATCTTCAGAGAACAATTGAAAATGTTGTAAGGGCAAAGTTTTGAAAAAGGTGAGTTACTCTCCTCTGGTCTGATTCTTACTTTCCTTTCCAGGTAAGGATTTATACTCATATCTATCAGCCCACCCAGAATCTAGACTCCTTGAAAGCAGAAACTATTTTATAGCTATATCCCTCAAGATGCCTAGTGCATAGTAGGTTCTCAATGTTTAACAAGTATGCCAGGTACAGATGTAATTCAAGTGTAAGAAGCCAGCCAATTGCTGATGAGGATGGAAATCCCCACCCCCAGCAACCACTCACTTGGATCTAGCTTTAAAAGGGAGAAGTTATTTATTTGCAGGGTTCAGACTGAGAGTGGTGAAGTGATTTGAGAACACGTCAGACCTCAGCTCAGCTGTGCTCCCAGGGAAGAGTGGGGCTTTCACACTCTGTGGCTTCATACTTGCTTCAAGAGACATTCTGGTTCTCTGAGGACCATATGGAAAGCAAATGATGTAAAAAATGAATCACAGTAAGGGGTTACAAGAAAAAGAAACAGAGATTATCTGACTCAAAAAGAATTCCACACATAGGCAAGTGAATGTAATAAGAAGTTTATTGGATTTCTAAATATAATCAAGTCATTGCAGTTCTTTTACAGAAAAAAAAAATACAATTTCAAATTTATTCTTATAGAGCACTGGAAAAACTTAATTGGTAGAAAAAACTGATAGAAAGTAAATAAAATCATGTTTTAATATAGTTGAATAATGTATAAATACAAAAGAAAATACCCAAATCACTTGCTTATAATAGGCTTTATTCTCTTATTTTCATAAGGAATCACATGTGCTATTCTGGATGTGTTAGTGATGGTTTATGACGTAGTGAATAAATGCAACTTTCTCAAAATAAAGTAACAGACAGACACCTGCATTTTAGGAATACCATGGCTCTGTCAAAATCACATATGTGAAAATAAAATCATATTTTCTATGTGTCTTTCTCTGAAGCCAGGGAGGCTATTCAATGTCTGCTCAGCACCTGCTCTTGGTGGATACATTCAGCATACAGAAAGCCTGGCTTCTTCCTTACTCCTCCTTGTACTTGATCTATTCACTTACAAACATCTTTTAACCTTTGAATAAAACTCTCTCTCCTTCTCCCCCAACTCAGTTTTACCAAATGGAAGGAAATGGGGGGTCAAGCTATGGAAGACAGATCCCATGCCACTGCGCTCAGACACAATTCTGTATTCCATAGAAGGAGCCCCTTACATAACTAGGGGGTGAGTGCAGGATCATCAGATTGAGATCTAAAGCAAGGCCATGCTGTGGTCTTTTCCAGATCATTTGTTTCTTTCCAAGGAGAAAGACATCTGCAACCCAATGCCTTTATGACATTACAGAGAGATTCCTGAACTCTTCTAGGACTCAAATGTGATTGTCCCCCAAATTAAAAATGACTAGGGTTGAAACTGGACAAGGTAAAAACAGAAAAGGAACATCAACAGGAAGGTTGACATTTTTAGTGAAGAGTAACACCTTTCTCCAAAGAATTGACCAGTCACCTGACACAATGGTTACTGAAAAAGGTTGTCATACTCCTGAAATTATTAAACACTGCTCTGTTTTGCACACCTGGTTATGTAAGGGGCTCCTTATGTGGAAAACACAAGGGTGGCTGACAGCAATGGCACACTGGATCTGTCTTCCAGAGCTTGTCCCCCTTTAATTCCATTTGATGAAACTGGATGGGGTGGGAGAAAACTTTGGGACCATCAGGACATCAATAGCCTCCTTGGAGAAAGACTAAGTGGACATATCACACTTCCCTCAAACAGAGGCATATTCAAAGTGTCTATGGAGCCAACTGACTTAGAAGGAAAGGGAGCGGCTTGGCAAGTGTAATCTGCCAGCTGGTTGAGTCAGACGACACATTGAGAACAATCTTTTTTGGAATCATGTCCTCCCTTCAACCCTTCTACAGTCGTGTACTGTCTGTCTGCCTCATCCTGTCTACCTGGACCCTCTCCTGCTGCCAACACTGGTTAGAATCCATTCTTCTAGGCTATGTTGTTGTTTTAGTAACAATTATCAATAGTTCTTCTGACGCTGACAGAACTATGGAAACAAAAGCCATCAAATAGCATGTACTACTATCTTTAGGAGTCAGAGTAAAAATGCTCTAAGAATCTGGCGGAGACATTTGGACCCCTGAGCCTCCAATTCCCACAGCCAAGACTTTTCTTTAGTTTTCTCCGGTAGCCTGAGAGATAAAAGAAGAAGAAACATGCTGACACTCTAAATCCACCAATGCTTAGTTTATAAAACACACAGATGACACATATCCTAATGCAAACCTGGATCCATTAATTCATTTAAATGTCTTTTTTTCCTGACCGAATCTTCCAACTCCACAGAGCAACTACAGGAAACCTCAGCAATATGCCACCATTCTTGGGATATAAATAAAAAGTGACTGTATCAGCAAGGAACACGCTGGGAATGCGCTTGCAGCCCATTCTATGGTAGCCACTCAAGGGGATATTGGATGTAAGTGACTTTTTCCCATTTGGCGTGGTTTCTCTTCTCAGCACCTACTCCTTCTGATGGTATGCTTTTGAAGGCTGAGCAGTACGACTCTGGGTACCGTGTGTACATACATATGTAGGAATAACGTTTATGTGTCTCAGAATAGGCACTTTTTGAAGGCAGTAAATCTAAAAGTAAAGTTAATAGAGCCTATATTTAGTGCTCATCTTCTCACTTTGCTGATGTGTATGCTGAACAGAAGATCACAGATTTGAGTTAGTCTCGCAAAGAGGCCGGAGTCGGCAAGTGGCTATATTCAGAGCTGGGGAAGTCTTGCCAACTCTACTCTAGCTGTTAAGATGCAGATTTGGAGAAGGTGCCGTCATTTTCTCAAAGGTGATGGCACAGAAAGAGAAAAGCCTGTGACGAAGCCATGAAATAAAGGCTTGGTTGTGTGGCATGGAGAAAACTACTGTCTTCTGGCTAAGCATCTCCCTGACACATCTAACTTTTCCCTTTCCTTTCCTTTTGTTTTTTAAATACATCTCATAATTGCACATATTCCCATGATTAGCAGTAGAGAAAGAGAGGCCCCAAATCTGTTGGAGTCATGATAAAAGTGTAGGTTAAAAGAAAAAGCAAAACAAAACCCAAAATAATTCCCTGCATCAAGAACATGCAAATATTCAATACTATATCCAGCTGTCAAAGTTTTACATCTGAGTCTAAATTTTCACTTAAGGCACATTATACCACATGATCATCTTATTCATGCTAAAGAATCAGACAATCATGTGTCATCTTTAATTCTATTTGCTCTTTGATGTGTTTCCTGAAAAAGAATGAAGACATAATTCAGGTTTTTAGAGGGGAAATATTCTAACTGTGTTTAATGAGGAAATAATTCTTGGATAATTTGCTCATCAGCTTTCCCAAGGGAATAAATGGTTAGTAAAAGGAAGAAAGTCATTTAAAAATGATTTTGCTACTACTTCACTGTAAAATATTGATAAGATTTAGTTTCTGGGGTCCTACATATCTTTCATCATGGATTCATTGCAGTTCAGTCTTTTTACTTGAGTGAGACGGATGGCACGATCCATGCTGGCTCAATTGGCTACATAATGGGAGGTCTGAGGTACTGAAGCTTTTTAGGCACAGTAACCCTGATTTGTTCATGCAGCTGACATCCTTCTAGAAACTCAGCAGAAAGTACACAGGGTTAGTGAAGTGCACATGCTGCCAAAATATCAACTCCCTTTTATTATTTGGTGGTGAAAATATGAAGTCATTCCTCTTGTTCGCATTTAAATTATGAAAATCCCCTTTCTTCTCTGAGGCTGTATCTGAGGGAATGGAACATGTTAGGTAGATACATCATATCCTGACTATGTTAGCCTCCAATTTCTGTTTTGCAATTACTAAGGGAGCATCGCAATCACCCAAACAGAAAACAGAGATGAGACAGAACTGGATTTTCCTTTCCCTTTATATTTAAGTCTCCCCCAAGACAGACCAAAAAAAAAAAAAAAAAAAAAGAAGAAGAAGAAGAAATATGTCTAGGAAAAGCTAGCTTTTCCCATTTTGCATTTTCTAAAGTAGTTCAGAAATGGAGTTAAATAATTGGGTGAGGAAAGATATTCAGGCTGAATATTTACTCCTTTATGATGGAGGAAATGGATTTAGGAAAGCAACCATTCTTCCTGTGCCTCAGTATGAAGCAAAGCAGGCACCATACAAAATGGCTACACAATGCATAGATAATAATGGCCCAAGAATAGTTCTTTACCCTTTTCTTGACAGATAGAACTATATAAAGAGGGAATCAAGCAAGAGAGATAAATACCTTAAGTTTCCACCCCCACCTCAAATTGCTTTGGCATATTTTAAGAGATAAATGGATCCATACAAAATTTAAATAGGTTTTTCTTTTCTTTTTTTGTCAGCTACAAAAATGGGTCAGGACTTGGAATTATTAATTTCCTGGCCTGAAAAGCCCAAGTGTTTTAAAAATAAGATTTCTCTTTTAGGGGAATCAGCTTTCTTGGAAGATGTGTATGTGTGTATGTGTGTGTGTGTGTGTGTGTGTGTGTGTGTGTATTTTAAAGACAACAGGATTGTGTACTTCCTAAATTGGGGAAAACTATAGCGGATGTAAGAAAAAAATTTTTTCATTAGTTTTTTTTTTCTTTACATTATGTAAAGATAAGTCAGGGTTTGTAGCTGATTTAAAAAGAAATTTGAAAAAAAAAAGTGGCTTTTTTTTTCTTTTTTTAAATAAAGAGCTGCTTTTTCATATTTGCTTCTTTGTTGTCTTTCAGTCCCTCTACTAAGATGTCACAGTTCTGCCTGAGTCTTTACTCAGGTGTACTCACCTAGATAATTCTGAAGGGTGTTCAATTGCTGCTTCTGTTAATCTATCCCTAGGGCAGAGCACTTCATCTACGCCCCAACACTTCTACTCCATCAGCCATGACATTCATCACACCTCACAGGAAGACAGGTTGCCTTTCAATGTGACTTTCCAGCCCAGGGCCCCCCGACTCTACTTGTGCTGCTGGTGTCTCCTGTACTTCTCGGGTAGAAAGACTGGGCAGGGGTGAGAGGCCATTTGTTGCTTCACTTGGCTCTCCTTGATCCCAGAGAGTAAGCATATGAATGGTGAGACTGCTTTAACAGATGGAGCTAGACTCTAGGAGGGAAATGCCAAGGAAAAGATCAAAATTTCCTAGATTTAATACAGGAGATCTAATGTGGAGAAAGAATATTTTTCTATCAATCAATTCACAGGTTACAATTTAGGGCAAGCAGCTGGAAGAAAGAAATGAGAGGAAATAAAAAGCCAAAGAGTACACCCCACAAGGCACCTCATCTTCTTAAGGGATGCATCTCAAGAGGAAGAAGGCCCATTTCTTGAACTGCTATAAATGCAACTTCTGGAATGTACACGGAGGCCTCCAAGAAGGTTATTCAGAAAGAAAATAGTACCCAAGCTCCTTGGGATGAGGACATATCAATCATAAAACTACAACAGCCTGGGAAGTCCAGTGTTATCAAATGGCAAAGCCCAAGTCTCAGAAATGCCATTGGTCCCATAACATTTGTTCAGACATTTCAAGGCCATGGGCTGGGAGGATCACAAATGTCTGTTATGACCACATATACCTGACGGGTTCTCAATAAGTGTGGATTTAAAAGTGAATATACACATTGTTTATCTATAGCAGTTTCTGCCTAGGCAGGTCATACAGCATGATCCACAGCAGACAGGCTTGTCTTAAGGATGAAATCACCTCTGCATGTCACTGAGTTGTAAATGATATTGTCTCAGCTGATGTTCTGAACCTGGCAGTTCCAGAGAGGTTTTCACTTCATATGATATAAACTCTCTGGGGAAATCTGTGGCCATGTGCTTCTCTGCCAGTGGCCTTTCCCTCATTCCCATCTTCATCACAGTGCCAATCAGAGAACACAAGATGACCCAGAAGGGTGTGTGTGTGTGTGTGTGTGTGTGTGTGTGTGTGTGTGTGTGTGTGTTCTAAATGACCCCCAACAGCATGGCACACATTGGATTTGCCACTGATAGCTACATGGCCTCTGTGAACATCTCTGAATGATTTCTAAAAGGGAGAGCAGCAGTCTATGAGCAGTATGAACACTGTCCCCTGACAGAGTACTGGCCTTGCAAGACCAATATATCTGCCACTTAACAGCTACCTAGTTTTTGGCAAGCCACATAAAGATTCTGAACCTCAGATTTCTCCTCTAACACAAGGTTATTAATAACCTTCCGCTTAGGGTTGTTTCATGGGTGAAGGCAGTTAGTAAATAACTTAAATACTAATTATCAAGAATTAATATTTTAAACCTCAGAAAGCCACTCCCAGGTGCTGCCCAGAAAGGCTGAGGGCAGATTCCTCTTATAGGGATCTCTAATGCAAAGTTGGGATAGAGGAAGTCATAGTCCTTGTCCTCCTAGAGTCTAAAGAATATTAATTCAACTAAATAGTAATCCAGGGCAATAAGAAAGAATATATTTTTCTACATAAAAAGAGAGCATAACATAACCCCATCTCCCCAGAATGATATCCTTTTGCACAGAACTGATCAGAAATAATGAATTTTCTATAATTTCATTACCTTTTGCATGTGATTTTTTTCCTTGTTAAAGATTGCACACTGACATTTCCCAACATTTTTAAGGTCATCAGCAGCAGATCAGATAAATGGAATGTATTGTTCATAGGTTAGTTACTGGGGAAGGGCATGAAGCTATATAACAGCTCTCAGAACAGTCTGTCATTTGAATAAGAAAGTAAAACCAACAAAAATCTCATAGATGCTAATGCCTGACCCTCAGACAATACTCTGAACTATTTTAGAGACATTTAAAGATTTTTATAATATTCAACTAAAAAGTAATGCTTCGTTTAAAAACAAAACAAATACAATGCAAGGAAAGTGGAGGAAGCAGCAACACTTTACTAAATAATAATGTAGGTTTATTTTGTGGCACCAAGAACATATGATGCAAAGTTTGGTTCTGTTTAAAGTCAGGGGGTGTCTAGAAGGAAGGAGGAAATGGAAGACCCCAGGGGTAATGAGTTCCTTGACAGAGGTGCTGTTTAAGCAGAGATAGGATTAGCACCAGGACTCTCCTATTGTGCCTTAAATACTCTTCCTTCAACTTCAAATCAAATTGGTGAATCAACTCAAGATTTCTAATCAAATTACAATTCTCATCAGATTTCATGTCATCCATGAAGCTTTCTAGATGCCACTGGAAGGACTGACTCTCCTGCCACACCCTCTTCTATGGGTGAGTTCAGATTGAACCTGTTTGATCTTATTGTGGGTGACTTGAATTGAAGTCACTCAGCGGCTGATTCTTTTACAGGGATTAGGCAACGATTATTAAAATGAGAAGATGAATGAGGGATAAAGACTAAACTTGAGAGGAATTATGGCCCCCTAAAGATAGGAGAAGGGATTGTCTTGGTCTGAAGGGCAACATCCCTTAGCATAAACATTTGAGCATGGAACAAAGGGAAGTGAATCTCAATGAAAAAAAAAAATCCAGGAAATATTTATGTAGAATTTAAAAGTGCCCCAAACTCCTCTCATTCACTATGAGAGCATACACAAGAAATGTCCTGGTCTTGAGAAGACAGGGCTGAAGGGAAAAGGCTGAAGAGACTTTATGAATTGACCACGTGGGACTCTCAGGGATGGCACATGCATTAGATTATTTCCTACTTTCAGAACGACTTTGATTTTGTCAGCATCAAAAATTGTACCCTCTGGGTGATTCCAATTCCATTTGCTTTTAACCCTAAACATAGTGTTTTCATATAACCTGACCCAGGGTGATTGCTAAGTTTCACCAAATAGATTGAAAGAAAATTAGGAAATATTTTGGAGTTCTGCTGATCAGAGGAGGAGCAGAAGAGTAATGGGAGTTGATGTTGTATTAATAAATGAGGAATAGTTGAGAATTGGTGATATTAGACCTAAAGAGGCAAAGATTTAGCCATTAGATTTTGGTCTGTAGATTGGTTTTGTGTAGCTCCAGAGGTAGAATGGACTGCTGTATGTAGTACTCCATACTGGACAATCTAAGAAGATTTGGAATGGGAATTAGGAAAATAGCAGAGGAGAGTCAGATATTCACAAAGTCCATGATTCTCTTTATTTAGGTACAACATGAGTGTCTGGGCTTGATTGGAACTCTCCATACCAGTGTATAACATGAGATAACATGGCGACCCTTGCCTCATTCTTAGTAGAGCATTCTACTCTTAGGGTTGAGAACTGAATTTCAAAGCTACATTTGGTGATAAGATGATTAAATGCACTTGTGGCTCTTCTACAAGATGGCTAGGGAATGCCTATTAGAGCTAGATGAATAAGGTTTTCTCTTGTCACTCTTCAAATGGATGATTATCTTGGAAAATTTAACTAAGCCATTCAGTAGGAAAGGCTTACTGCAAGTAAAGTATTACAAAGGAGTTAGCTGCAGGGTGTTCTTTCTCTAGTATATACAAGTATTGGAGAATATTGACTTTTGCTCTTAAGAAAGGCTAGAAGTAGAGTTATTTATTACTGTGGTTGGAAACTGCTATAAATTAGACAACAATCAGAAAATAAAGAGCAAAGGTTTTAGAAATTTCTTTATAACTTCAATCAGTTGAATAAAAATCTGTCTTTCACAGAGCTCTTCACAAAATAAGCCATATGCATGCTGGCTAAATAAAATAGAGCCTACAACTTACTGCAAATGGAATAGGAAAGTTAAATAGAGAAAAGAATTAGGATTTTTTTTTCCTGTAGTGAAGAAACATGCCTCTGATTCATGTTCCAAGAAAAAAATCTGATGCTGACCCATCCCCTGAAAATATTGTGATTCAATTATTAAGGTTTAATAGTGCAGTTATAGGCTAAATGCTGATATGTGTTAAAATTTTGGAAAGATGTTAGTTCATCCTTCCCATAAGGAAAATTATGAAGTTTCAATAGAATACAATACAATCATATGCTACCAGCAAGACCATAATTATTTTGTGGTCAAAATGTTTTTGGATTTAAAAACAAAATCTTAACCTAGACTTACAAAGGTTACTTGGCATAAAGTGTAGAAAATTAGACCAGTCATAAATGAATTTACCGAGATTCTGTTATCAAGAGTCTTATAAAATTCCTTAAAATACAGCTAAAATCTCACTCTACGAAAAAACAAATCCTGAAATGTATGTCCCTGTAAAGAAAGATTTCTGGATGACATATATTTTCTGGTACCCTTCCTCCATTAATCTAATCATGATTCCATAAGGATCAGAATGCATTGACTTAATTTATGAAAAGCTCAAATAGGGCAGCATTAGTAGGCAAAAGGAAGGAAGGAGTGAGGAATGTAGGAAAAAGATTAAGGTAGGAAGGAGAGATTCAGAATTCTCACCAATCACAGCAGCTTTGGTCAGATTATCTTTTAAAGGTTTTGGCAAAGCTCTGCTAACCCTCATGAGAAGAGTTCCCTTCTGTCCATATCTGTCTAGTAACTAACTTGACCTGAAATGTTCATGGTTGCACCACTTTTGTGATTTTCTCAGAACCAGGATTCTCAAATTGTTCTGTTCACTAGTAAGTAAAACAATAGACAAAGTTAAGGCAATTTTTATAAACGGATATGCTGAATGGATGGGAAGGCTCAATTTCAAATCCCTTGTCTTGATTATTCAACTACAACCAGAATAAGTCAAATCATGAACACTAACAGCATCCAATATGTCACCTTCTGGTGTAAGAATATTTTCAAAATTTAGGGACCCATGAGGTCCTTTCAAAAGGAGGGAAGAAGTACTATTAGACTACATTAAGATAAAAGTTCAGACTTCTTTAAATTTTTAGAATTTTTAATTAAAAAAAATTTTTTTTGATAAGTATAGATCTTCGAGATTTGGGGATTATTATTTGTTATTGACTCTGGTGAATTATCTACAGTAGTGTAAATAGATTATTTAAAAGTAAGGCACAATCATAGGTTGCTTTTGGATTGTCTCCCATGAAAGTGCACCAAAAGAGCCATCCCAGGAAATGGACTTAAGGCACATTTTGCAGAGGTATCTTTTTCAGTTTGCTGGTTTCCTACAGATGGCTAAAGCAGGGGTATGGGATATGCTGTCATATTTCATTCATAACACACATGTACTGTAGCTCTAGGCAACAGATGGACAATCGCTTGTTTAAACTACAAATGTGAAATACTAAGGTAGAATAGCAATATTTCTAGAAATGTATATGGAAAAAAATGCCTTTCCAAGCCAAGAGGAATGGTGAGAGGCTGTGAGGTTACATCAGTGTTTCCCTGATCTCCCTAGCAGCTGCCATAATTTCCCCAACACCCTTCAAAACTTGAAAATGAAAGGATCAGGGGGCAGCCGACACAGATTTGACAAGAGAAGCCCAAACCATATCAAATAGAAATAACACTGTTATTCCTGACTGGTTCACATTAATAGGATTTTTACTAACTAGAAAAATGGTGGGAAGTTATGTTTTCAGAGCCCTGTCTATATTCTATCAACTCTCTAGTGTATCCTCATTGAAAAAGCACTCTCTTTCTTCCTCTGGACCCAAATACAAAATAGTTGTTTAATGTAAAGTTTCAGATTCTTTAAACACCACCATAAACATCTTTGTAGAATCTTTCACAGAAAACAGTTAGTGTTGACAAGTCTACCTTATTAATCAGCATATTCTCCATGAAGTAATTTTGATCACAGCAATTGCACCCACAAAAACAATATGTTAATGATAAGGAAAAAAACCCCACATCTTTAAGTTGCAAAGATGTCAGCATCTCACAACCTTGACCTTGTGTTGAGACACATGACTTATTTTTGTATTTTAAAGGTGATCTGCTTGCAAACAGACTCCACATTGAGTCAGTTTGAGCTGGGAATCCAAAAAAAAATTAAGAATCTTATTTTGGTCTTGGGGTAAAAATCAGTGGCAGAGTGCCTGACCAGCATGCACAAAGCCCTGGGTTCAATCCTCAGAACTGCAAAAAAAGTCTTATTTTGAAATGGTCTATCGAGGCCAAGGAGTAGTGGGATTTCTTTCCTTTTCCATGTGTCCATTTTATACAGAAATACCAAACATTAGTGCTTTTGATATTTTTTAAAACTGGTATAATTTTACAAACTTTTCCCTATAGGCTATGATTTTTTTTCTATTACTTATGTATTTAAATGATATCAAGACAATACATCAAAAGACAATAAGTATACTTAAGATAATATGATTTTTTTAACTCTCTCTTACAGGCAAGATTTCATGTAACTAAAACAGTAAAGAGTGACTTGACATTGTTTAAATCAAATGATTAATAGAAAGACAAGGAAGTAATAGAAATCATATATTTAAGAAGTCCTAAAATAAAATATGATAGGATCCTTTCCTTATTAGACATTGTGAAAGAAAAAAATCTAAATCTAAATATTTTTGTATATGTCTGTGTGCACATTCATTTTTATAAAAGTATAAGTCTATATTAAAAAGAGATTTACTTTAAAAATCTTTGGTAAAGACACTCTGAGGTTATGTGATAAGAATGCACTATAAAGATCATAAGCAAGCAAATTTCTGCTGGCAGTGCCACAGTGGTGGGCCTGTGACAGTATTATCTTCAAACTTTCTTTTGGCATGTAAACATTTGGTTAAATAAGAACTTAAATTTAACAAGTAGGATGTTATTGTATTTTGAGAGTATAAATATTTCATAATTTCTTCCCCTTTTGGCAAAATTTCTAATAATATGACTGCATTTCCAGAGATAAAAACTTTCCCTCAATACATTGGACTCTTTGCTTTTGGCCTAAAGACAATTTCCCCGAAGTATTTCAGAGTAAACATGAATGAATCACCTTAAGCAGGCTATATTAGCACCCCAATTGTCTAATAGTCAATGCTAAAGGCATCAGTACAGTCTGGCCTTTAATTTAGAGCACGGGAATTCTTGAGACGTGGTATAATTTTATCGTAAATTCACATGTCAGCCCTAAGTGGATCTCATTATATTTCACATTCTGAGAAATATAAGATCCCAGATAAGAGAAGGAAGGTAAGAACAGGACAGTGGTCAAAGGAAGCTCTTGCAATTTATAACTTTGGTGCTTCTAACACAAAACCATTTGCTGATAAAAGCAAAAAAGCCACAGATTAATTTACATGAGCTGTAGTGACCACAAGTTGAACAATATCTTATTTTTTAAAAAATCACTTCTATGATGATTTGTATTCAAGTAAAACAAATTTGACAAGAATTCCTGAGGCATGGGTTGTAGTTTAAAACATGAATAAAATAATTTCTCATTTGTGTTCTGCACGCATGTTAAAAATTATTTTTTTTTTAAATTCAAGGATTACAACCCTCACTTTCATGGTTATGAAAAAGATATTTGTGGAATAAAGGAAGGCTACATAGGGATTCATTATATTATTATTATTTATACCTTCTTGTATATTTAAAATACTCCATAATTTAAAAGTATATATTCATGGGGAGATACGAAGAAAGGTTTAAGAAATCTCATCCCAAAATACTTAATTAGTTTACAAGATGGCAACTTGCCATTGCTAAGCTAGGTGTCTTTCCTTAAATGAAACATGCTAGAACTTAATAAATATGGTTCTGCAGTTGGCAAGCAAATGTTTCGCTGGCTAATAAGAGTTTGAATAAAGATTCTAGGCAGAGATTCTGCATATTTTTAGCTCAGAAAGACAATTTTTTTCAGTGATTGTCTTTGCAAGTGTGGTATAAATGTCACATTGATGATATGAAAATGTCTCCTGCAGCATGTAATTTGAGTTGCAGAAGGATTATGAGAATAATAAAACTGTGCTTTCACAATTCTTTTCAAGATTTCCTCTATTTTTTTTAAATGTAAACTAAACAAAGCCACACAACTTCATTTTTGTGTGCCCTGATTTGCAATTGGTGGCACAAAAACAGACCTGGGTCTAGGAGGTTACAAAAAAAAAAAAAAAAAGAAGAAGAAGAAAAGAGAAAGAGAAAAAAAAAGCATTTGAACAGTTTTTTATGGGTATCTTCCTCTAGAGAAAATGTCAATTTTGGTGGCTGTGTTCAGTTTTTGGAAAAAAAATTACTATTTCTTAGGTGAAAAGCAGAATGGTATTGGAAATATTACAAATGCAAGTTTTTCTGTATTGGTTCTAGGTAGGGTAAAAAAGAAAAATCTTAAGACAGTACTGTGGGATAATAATGGACTTTTCAAACATATCCCACAAATGCTGTGCATGGCATGTCCGTCCTGTACTTTCTTCAGAAAACGACTGAAGCTTGGTTCTGTTTCCCCACTCATTAGCTATTGGCCGATAACTGTTTTTAAATGAGCCTTGACCAATAGTCACTACAGATTTTAAATTTGGATGGTTGAAAATTAAATTTGTTTTAACTGACATATTTTACAATTTAAATTGTTTACAGCCTAACATAGAAATTGTGTATTTTTTCTCCAAGGGACATGAGTAGTGTGGAGAACAGAAAAAATACACTTTCAAAGACATAGCAAAATCATGGCTAAACTTTAGAGTCACACGCAATGTGGAAGTAGCAGGATGAAGACTTCTGAAAGCACCTGTGAGTTGGCAGAGTGACCCAGGAAAAACTGTGTGACAGCAAATACCACTCTAAAAAAAGCCATTCAACCAGATGAAAAGTGAGACAAACATAGGGATTAAAAGTTACAGGAATGCAGAAGTGAATGGGATGAAGTATAATCTGTGCAAAAATGTGGAAGTACTTGGAACAAAGGCCCATCGAGGCCCTACATGATTAAATGTGAAATGTTGTGTATTTGGTAAGAACAAAAAAACAACAACAACAACAACAACAAACAACTCATCATCTATGTGTTTCTACAGAAAGTTTAACAGTAAATGAATCATGGAGACCATCCCATAATTTGATTGCCTTGTCCCCATTTTCCTAATTTTTTTTTTCTTATCTCTTTTTGTGTTTCATTCTTCACAGCGCCGTGCACTAAGCTGTTAACAGACCACTGAATCTACAGGTCGGTGCTCGCCTTGGCGGTTAACACTCTGATGCGCGTAGAATTGCAGGTCTTACAGAGGATGTGTCCATCCAAGGGGTAGCAGCCTTGGTTGTCTCCTTCAGATAAGAGACCACCACAATCCTAAGAAAAGCAAGACACATGGACATAACATAAATGAAAATGTAAGGACATTCATGAAACCAAATTCCTTAAGTGTTCTATTCAAGACCTCCAAGACCTGACCTCTCACAACCTCTACGGCTTCATGTAATACTGACCCACTCTGTCACTTCCCTCAGTTTATAACACAGTGTACCTTAAATTAAACTGGATCAGAGGTGGGGGACATGAGTACAGATGAAGTGAAATGACCTTCTTGAAGTCACTGACTATGAAATCCAAGTATAAAAAGGGAAGGGCTGTGGATTTCAACACCCAGCTAGAAGTTTGCTCCCCAAACAACAAGAAGAGTAAATAAAATTAGAGCCTTAATTCATCTATACCCTTTTATCATCAGTTTAAGAATCTCAAAAGGAATACATAGCCGCAGGTGTGGATGTTTTTGGCTAATTCTGAGCAAAAGCAAAATGAGAGATTCCTGCCAAGCATAAGAGCCACCAACAGTTCAATTATATTTAATTGCAGTAAGAAAATAAAATATTGGAGCAATAGTTTGTTGCCCTTTCTAAAGCAGAGAACAGGGTATAGAGGGATGAATGTTAGACTGGGATACAGTTCTATCACTGCCGGCTCCCTGCACACAAGGCCCACTCCACTCTGAAAATAATTCCTGCATTTTCTACATTACCAAGGTGCCGAGAGGGTCAAAGTGAGTAATGGTTGTGTATGTATTTTGAAAAAATTTAAAGAGCTACAAACTATTATGTTACTGTTGACAGCCCCTCTGAGAGTTTACTTTGGAAAGTGTTATGTAGCAGTTAAATGCTAGCCCTTAACTCTGGAGGATATGGAAATTTCTTTGGAAAGTAAATTTAGAAAAGTTCACATAGTGGTGTGTGCCCTTGCAAACTTAAGGAGAAGACACAGCAGCTGCACACCTTGCCTCTGCCGTCCACCACAGTGGCAAGGAGGCTAATAGGGCTCATGTCTACAAGAGATGAATAATGAAATTAAAGTTTAAATAGGGCATGACCCAGAACACAACAGCAGCCACAGTTATGTTCCACAGGAAGTGGGGCTTTACCAAAAAGAACAAGTGGATGGACATACTGCCATTTTACAGGCTTTTAGGAAACTGGGTAAAGGAAATAGAGCTTCTTTATCACAGTAAAAAGAAGAAGGATTTTTCATGGATGGCATGGTTTGAAGCCTTTAATGAGCTATATGGTCTATAATCATTGGGATACCTTAAAGCACCCAGAGTCAACCACAGCATCGGAACCATCAATGCCTGGAATCTTAAAGCCAATGGAGACTGGCAGAGCAGCCAGTGCAGCCTCTGCACTTTGCACATGGGAAATGGGAGGAGCAGAGGGAAGTGGTCTGTCTAGTGTGACACAGAGTTCCTGGCAGGACTAGGACAATGGCTGGCTCTCTTCTAATTCAGTGTTCTTTCTGTTTTATGGTTTTGTTTCTAAAAATTTCTCAGCATTTTAAAGCAAACCTAATTTGTACAGCTGCCATTTATTCTGAAGAGGAAGGTACATTTGATGCAACTCTTTGTGCAAAAGCCAAGAACATCTAAAAGGCAAAGCCTACTGGTGTGTGCATCAAGAATGTGAGGAAGGGCTGGGGATGTGGCTCAAGCGGTGGTGCGCTCGCCTGGCATGCATGCGGCCCAGGTTCGATCCTCAGCACCACATAAAAGATGTTGTGTCTGCCGAAAACTAAAAAAATAAATAAATATTAAAATTCTCTCTCTCTTTCCCCCTCTTTAAAAAAAAAAGAATGTGAGGAATGTCGGGAAGCTCTTCTCTAAGCCTCAGTTTCTCCTCTGTAAAGTGATTCTAAGGTATCAGTTTTTAGCAGTCATAATTCAGGCCATGTTAAAGATAATGGATGGCTGTTGTTGTTCTCTTTACTTCCCCAGTCATAAAACCTTGTTTGAAAGCTGTTAGCTTTTTATTATCTCTTCTCATGTTAAGGATGGAGAGAGGCATGAAACTTGGGCTTTAGGGCAAAACAAAGCACACTGCATAAAACAGATGGTCAGTTTCTGCCAGGGCAGTGAGTGGAATGAATGCAGTCCCCGAGAGAGCCAGGGTGGTCCTCAGAGCCCTGCCAGCTGGTGTCCTGGGGAGATCTCGTAGCCAGACTAGACAACCAATCTCATGTGGATGTGGGAATAAGGAAGCCCATTATTATCTATCCCAGATAGAAGAAAGGACTAAGTGCCAAGCTCTGCAGAGATACTAGTAAATAAAAACAACAACAACAACAACAACAACAACAAAAAAAACTGTGGCAAAGAAGTGGATCCAGGTAGAACTAAGATAAGAAAATGTTTTAAAATTGCTATCTGAATGTGGTAGCCTTTCAATATTCAAATTATAGGACTTGCTGCATTTTGCTGTATTAATAGCTACCTGACCCTTAGGCCTCAACCTACTTCCTCTGAGAAGATTCTCTTGTTACTTCAGCCTGGATTGCAGGTTAGCTTTATGTATTACCACACTACCTATCATCTTTAGCAGTTGTCTGACCTCTTGTTTTTAAGTGCCTACTCAATGCTTGCTGATAAATAAATGAATCTCCATGACCTCAAACAAGAAGCTCCAACCCTTCTGAAATAAATGACTTCTTATCCTTTTCAATGGGTAACAATGGCATCTCTACCCTATAGAAGTAGAAAACCAAAGCCATCAGAGTCAATGTTGAACAGTCATATAATAATAATGACTCCACTTCTCACTAATTAAATAATTAACAATTTACAATGTCCTTTAATATACAGTTTTGTATTTCAGTCTCACAGTTATATATGGGGTAGTTATGAATTTGAGCCCTTGGACAAGTGGAAAAATTGAGACTGAAAGTGGTAAGGTGACTTAGCCAATGTCATTTGTAGTACATGCCAGTATCAGATCTAAAACCCAAGTCTGATAATACAGGCATCAAAGTATTTCCAGATTTAATAATTGCTACATTTATGAACCCTCAGCTCTGATAGGCCTTTTAAAGCCTGTCACACCACTTCAGGGTGTGCGGCGCCCACCACAGACCTCACAGCGGTAGCAGTGCACGTGGAAGTCACGATCCAGAGCCACAATACGGACAGTCTCCTCCTGGCCAGGGGCTGGCATGATAGGCTCCTTGCACACGGAACATCGAGGGGCAAACTTCCTGAAAATGGAGAGATCATTCTGATTAGATACTAAGCATAGATCCTGATCAAAAGTGAGACACAGAAGGAAAAAGAAAAGATGAAAGTCTGGATTTGGGATGCCTGCTCTGCATTTCCTGTGTGACCACAGCGAGTCACTCTACTTCTCTGGGTCTGCTTTCTCCACTGTAAAATGAGAAAGTTAGACTGTTGAGGTCCCACTGAAGGGTACATACTGTGATATTTGATGAGGTAGAAGAGTGAGTGTGGGATTACTTTGCAAGAAGGGCATCACTTTTCCACAAAGCATGTGGCATGTAATACAACTGCATGCAGACTCCTGACATAAGCCCTAGGCTAAACAGAGGGAAACAGGTCCCAACAGGCCCAATCTTGGCTTTGACTTTGGCTTCTAGATATTTTTTAATGTATTCGTCAAGCCCTGGACAAATATTCTAAAGTTGGTATCTTTGCCTCCTTTCCAATCATTAGAACCTCTTTCTTGGAAAGGAGTCTTAAATTCCAAGAACCAACACAAGAAACCTTATAGATAGCCCTTCAAAATAGCAGAGGCTAGTGAATTGAAATACACGTTTCATCAAACATAAAATGGCCAAATCTGCATTCTCTACATTCTGGTTTTGTGAAAATTTTGTTTGAAAAGTTGAAGAGCTGTCAAGTTCATTGCACTTAAAAGGATTTTAGCATAATTAAAGGCTATGCATATATAAACACACACACATATATATATACATATATATTTAATAAACATATACATACATGTACATTTGCATATATTTTTGAGACTTTTGGTGAAATAATTTCAATATTTCTTAATTTCTTAATATGACCTATTGTCCCTAACACTTTTTCCCCCTCATAACAGATTATAGGCTGCAAATATAGGTCACTCACCCATCAGTATTTCTGGAAATTTGGAGTGGCATTTATAAGGTGTGAAATGAGATATTATTTGAAATGGACCTGTATAAGAACTTAAGAGATTTTTTAAAAAGAAAAAGAAACCGGGCAACTCAATTTTTTCATGGTAATCGTTTCAAGATTAATGATGTTAAAATTTATCTATTTGTAATGAGACTTAAAAGGAAATAATGATAGTAATCTAATACTTTGCAGAGCACTTTATGGTTGTCAAGGCATTTTTACATACATTATACTCTATATGTACATATTAATTTTCCTGGCAGCACCCAAAAGGCATCTGTATGGCTGCAATCTAAATAAATATGAATTAAGCAGGAGATCAATTGATTGCTATGAAAGAAAAATTAAAAGGATCATGGTAGAACTGCAGTAGTAATCAGAGTTATTATAATTGGTATTTTATGTAAGAAGCTTATACCGTGGCAAAAAAATTGCTTTGGACTACCTGATTATTTTTGAATCTGGGTCATCAGTAGTGAAAAAAGCAGACTTCTGATATCTACTGCAGAATTTCTTTTCCCCAAACCCATTGGGACTATAAACCCTGTAAGCGCAGAAATGTTTTTTGCTTATTATTTTATCTATTAGCGTCCCCCAACTTCATAAGCAGAATTACTTACTCTTCCAGGATATATTTTTTAAATCCAATTTATCTTATTTTTGTAGTAATTATGTACACCTCTTTGGGGGTCATCACTAATCTGTGAGTTCCAAAGGATGTGACTTTGCTCCGTCTCTGACTACCAAGACTGGTCCAGAAAGATAAAATCTGAACACTATTTAATGAAGTATCGGCCATATTTCTCTATAAGAAAGATGTTGTTTTGGCTTTTATGTTCAATCTTCTTTGAAAAGACATAAACTGTACTCTTTGTTGTGCTCAGTAATGATTCTTTTCTACCATTTGGCCTCATTTCCATGATGGGCAATAACAAAGTGAAGAGAGAGGAGATACTCCACAAACTTCCTGGGCTGGCAATTTTAGAAGAGCTCAAAATTCCTGGTGGTGTCTCTCAAGGCTAAGTTCACTGAGTGAACAATAACCATAATAATAAAAATAAACTTGATGAGAACCCTTTTGATGATTGTAGCTGCCATTCATCAAATGCTCATCACATGCCACATTCTGTTACGTACTTCATCTACTTAATATTACTTTCTATTGACAGTAACATTATGAGATAGTCCTTTTATCATTTCTACTCTACAGTTAAGACAGCAATGATCATTTCTCATATTCAACATATTTCTGGCTATCAACAAGTGGATGCTGATTAAACAAACAAATGGGTCAGTGTGATATCCCTACTAAGAGAGCAAACAGAGTGGAACAAAGCCTCAATGCACTTGAGTCTGTTTTCTGGGTTTCCTCACTGCACTGATGCTGGAAATATAGAAAAAAAAAGGAGGGAGGATCCTAGCACCCTGAGAGGGAGTCCTATATATTCCTATATTTGTTCTGTTAATATGGGTGTATGTGTATGTATATGTATGTGTGTGTGTCTTAGTTTTTTTGCTGCTGTGCCTAAAAGGATCTGTACAGAACGACAGTGGTAGAGGAAGAGTTTATTTGAGAGCTTATGGTTCAGGGGTCTTAGTCCACAGAAGGCTGGCTCCATTCCTCAGGGCTCAAGGTGAGGCTGAACATCATGGTGGAGTTTGTGGCAGATGGAAGCAGCTCACATCATGGTGGTCAATAAGCAGAGAGACAAAGTCCACTCTCCAGATACAAATATATACCCAAAGCCATGCCCCAATTCCCACCTCTTCCAGTCACACTCTACCAATTCAGGGATATAACCCAATCATTTCTTCTTCAAACTTTCTTGCATTGTCTCACATGTGAATTTCTGGGGGATACCTCACATCCAAACCATAACTGTGTGTGTGTGTGTGTGTGTGTGTGTGTGTGTAATCTAACTCATTTCAAAAATAATTTAAGGTGGGTGCTGTAAAACTTGATATATATATGTATGTTTCGCTACAAATCAGGCAGTGGTAGGTACTATCTTGTGCAGAATTCGGAAACTTATCCAAATACAGAGAGGAAGGTATGAATTCCAACGTGGGGATAGGAGGGGTGAGATCAGAGAACTCTTCTTAGAATTAATGGTAATTGGATTTGGGCTGTAAGAATGGCCATGTAGGTGAAATGGGAAAGTGTGTGTGTGTGTGTGTGTGTGTGTGTGTGTGTGTGTGTGTTGGTGTGAGTTAAGTTGGTCTGCCAGGGAACTGAGTTCACAGTTGTATCTGAATTGACACTTGTGAAAGAGTTTATGCCCAAAGGGATGGGGACATAAGCCAACTTTGACCAGAGATGGTTATATAGAGTGCGCCCATTAGCAAGGCCTCAAGATTCTGCACTTTGAATGACAAGCTTCTGAGATACCGCTTTTGAGGCCTTGCCAGTAGACATCCCCTGCATTCCCTGTCAGGAATTTCCTTGCTTCCTGCTGAATTCACTCTTCAAATTCTGCTTCCCTGAAGCCTGCTGGTACCAGAGCCACTCCCTGTCTTCTGTCTCCCTGTGTTTGTCTCATGGCGCTGCCTTTCTGCCCTGCAGTACTGTTATGTATGCACACTCTGCCCTCCTCTTGGCAAGCTCCTGGCCCACAGGGACTTCTTTCTGTGTATGTCTGTGCAATTTCTCCCTCGTAACTCTTTCCTTCAGCACTTAGCACAGTACTTGGCACACAGAGAGTTCTCTGCAAGTACAAGTTGAACTGAATTGAAATGTTTTCTAAAAGTCCACAAAGGGAGATCCATTAGAAGGATCAAAAATACTCCCCCCTCCCCCGGCCCAAATCTCTCTGAAGGAAGTAACTATGTCCCTGGTCCACCTCTCCTTGGCCTCGCAGTGCCAACCTGGTGCTGGAGACTTCTAGCTGCTTTATGCTCTAGTATTTTCAAGGCTCAGAAGAAAGTGTTTTGGAAAATGTTCTCTAGTTTTTCCTCTTGTAAATGGGGAAAATATCAAAAAGACTCCACTCCCCCCATACAAACCTGCAATTATTCAGACAATATTATATAAAGAAAGAATTTATATTTTAATATACTAACTCGTGCAGAGGGGGGATAGCTGGGGTTTCAGTTTTCTTTAGCTGATCAAGTCTGCTTTTCTGAAGCTTTCAGACCCACCCACTTACGCCACCAGTCGCAAGTCTCTAATTATGCTCCCCACCACTGGAAATGAAAGATAAATGGCATAGATATAAACTTACATTTGTCAGAATTGATTTCCTGTTTTAATTGAGGGGTGTAATACATCAGTCTTTTCCAGCAACAGAAACATGTGTGCTCTGATTATATCTATCAGTCTTTCTTGGATTAGGGTAAGTCTAAGAAAGGAATGAAACAGTGACAGAAATACACTCCCCATTGGTATCTTTTCACTTCCCTTAAATAGATGCAGGTTTTTTTTTTTCCATGTGTAATTACGAGCTAAAAATATCAATAACGTGAAGTACAATTTTTATGCTGTGACTGCCCTTTAGAAGCAAGCCCTTCCTTGTCTAATTCAGGTTGAGAATTTCTGCCTCTGGGTTCTTCTTCTTTTCTTTCTAATTCATTCAGCCTTATATCTTTTCATGAGGTTTTCACTTTCTCTGCTACTTGGAAAGTAGTCAGGAAACTCATTTTTAAAATATGAGGCAAAGGTCCCCAAACTGCTTGTGGAAAGTACCTCCTGGCTGTTGACAATCAACAGTGGTGAAAATGAACCCACAAGACTGAATATTTGAAGGCCATAAGACAGACACCCAGTGGTGAGTAGCGCGAGCCTGTCTCTCGGACAGCCTCACCAGTCCTCTGCAAGGCCATGCCCAGATCTTCAGAGCCAAGTATGAAAAAAGTCCATATCTTCCATCAGCAAGAGGCAGCAAGAGCTTTCATAAGGACCTCAAAGACATGGAACGCAGGTCAATTAAACCCCTAACAAACTGGCCAAATAAATGTCAGGAAAATACAAAATGGTATGATTTTCTCAGAAACCCCAGCTATCGTAGAGGAAAGAGCGACCTATCAATGAGACAAAAGAGGAAGGGGGACTTATTTTTTCCAGGCCCATAACTTAGCGGCCGTGATCTTGAGGTTCCACTTTCTAACCCTCCTCAAAAGGCCACACAAGATGGCACTGATCAATTTCATCATGAAAACATCCTAGGAAGAGAAGATCTTGGTTGGGGAAGAGGTTAGGAAAAGCCACCAACATGCTGGCAGTGGCATGAAGTTGCCTCTGGGTATCATATGTGAGAGGCTTGCATTAGTGAGGGGGACGCCTGTCCTCTGTGTCTGGCCACAATAACCTCCCATCTGTACAGTGGTCGGGGTGTAGATGCTCTCACAGTTGAGAGGCTTTTCTAAGGTTTCATCTACAGACCAAATTGAAGATCTCAGAGAAGTAATTTGCCCAACGTCACACCACTTGTTCTTGTTAGGCCAGGATCTTGCCTCTTTCTAATACGTACACTTTGTGGTAGAGTCTACGTTTTCCACAACTAGAGCCACATAAAGACACCATGGACAGGCCCCAGAGAAGCCTTGAAACAGAGGCCTGAATGGCTGGTCACACAGATTACCTGATATTCATTCTTTCATTAGATGAGGGGGTGAGGAACTATGCTCCTTACAGGTCTCACTAAATCCTGAGAGTCTACAGCTCTGAGAGAGAAGAATGTGCAGCCCAGATGGCGGGAAGTAGGAATAGAGGACTGGCAGATTGGGTGGGTGGGGGGGAGTGGAGTGCCTACTTGTGGAAGTCCTCAATGCAGTGAATGAGTCCGCCAGCATCCACGGTGAATGGGATGCCATCCAAGCTGCGGTGGCACATCACACAGGTGAAGCAGTGAGGATGATAGGCCTTCCCGGTGGCACGGAGAATCCTCTCCATGATGGGCTTGGAACACACGTTGCACTGCTCCAGAGTATTCTGAGGAGGCAAAGATACTGATGTTAGGGTGGGGCTGAGAGAGCTCTATATGAGTTTTTTAAAAAACATACTGGCTCACTTGCTTATCATTATATTTGGAGAAAGGCAGAGTGCATCTTTATTACAGAGAGAAGAAAACACAATCAGATGGATCAGTGACTTTTCTAAGGTCATCCAGGTAGTGGGCAGCAGATCCACATTTAGACCACAGGCTTTCTGAATCTTACCTTATTCCACTACAGCAAGGGGGATAGCAAACTTTTTTGTGAACTAAATATTTCTGGTTTTGTCATAACAACAGAATTTTGTTGTTCAAAAGCAACTAGACAAGGGAGCATGGTTATGTTCCAGCAAAAGTTTATTTACAAAAACAGGTGATGGGCTAGAGGTGGCCCACGGTTGTAGCTAGATCATGGAACCATAATACACAGGCACTCCACCTGCAAAATGCTTTACTGTTACTTCTAAAATGTGGTTCATTATCAAAGACTTGCAAGGGGTATATCAAGGCTCCTTACTTTTTAGAGAGTGGTCTGTCTGATGAATGAGACAGTCATACTGGCTACAAAACCCAAATCAGAGCAATGAGGCTTCCAGTCACTTAAGACTTTAATTCACACCCCATCTCCAAGTTTAAGATTCATGAACTCAAGATAGAAATGTTGAAAGTAGTGGGTGGGAATTAACAAATTCAATTAATCCGGCTTTAAAAATATGCTGAGGTTTAAAAATACACACCACCTTTAAAACATCCCATTTAGTGAGTCAGCACTCAGAAGATCAACTGTTAACTTTCCATCTCCCCCCAGAATCCTGTGCTTTCACCAATTAGTCGATTCACATGTAATATTTTTTATTCCAATGGAACTATCTGGACTGAATCAATGGAATCTGGAATACACATAGGGTGTGGATACCATTAGAAACATGCAGAACCGGATGGGATGTGGAAATTGAGGAACTGCCCTCTTACCATAAGAATCTTTAAATGACTGTGAGGCAAGACATGACTGTATGAAGGTCATTAGTGTCCTGATACCTACAGGTCAGAGGGCTTCCTCGAAGGCCCTACTTGGAATGAACTGATTCTTTCTCTTCCTTTCCTGAATACTTTATCCATTTTGCTTCCATACTTACTGTGTGAACTTTTAAAACACATTTGTGCACATGTCTACATCTTCTACTAGACTGCAATTTCATGAAAGGAAAGAGACTATGTCTTAAAAATATTTATCTGTCCCATATTGCACACAGAGTATCACTGCCTGGAATTAAGATAAGTCAGGAAGAACATGTGCAGAAAGAATGAATGGAGGAATATTGTTTCACTCCACCCTGGCAGCACAGTGCTGCCCCCACTCTCCTAGCTCTGGGATCTATCCCAAGATGAATTGGTAAATCCATCATCATCCTCCCGTCAGAGCTGCGGTTGCCCGAGCTTCTGAAATTGCTTGGTACGCCTCTGGCCACAGTCTAAACTCATGGAAACTATTAACCTATTTTTTTTCCCCATTTTGAAGTGGTGAAATTAAAATAGCAGAAGAGCATAGGATGAGAGTCTGGAGCTGATGATGGTCTGGAGAAGGAGGGTTCTGTTTCTTTTCTGTACTGGAGATCTGAGCTAATGTGGCTAGAAATTGTCTTCCCAGGGCTTGTGTTTGTTTTGCTTCTCTGTGGTTTTTTTTTTTTT